GATGGGGGGGACCTGATTACATTTTCCATCTGAAGGACTACATTCTCACTGTAGCATTTTCCCTGCTATGCCAAGAGTCCTCGACGAAGCCAGTTTAATGTATAAATAATCCTGGGCCAACCCTGCATTGATTGTGAGATGTTTACGAGACGCCCCGTGCTATGGACGAAAGGCCAGTAAGCAAAAACGCAATGAAATGCAGTACTGTACATAATGTTTTCTTTAAAAAAAAAATTTTAAGCATTCGCCATATACTGGACATTGCATAGCAGCATATTTTTACATCTTGGAACACAATATTGAGTCATCACACGATCTGCAAGGCACGGTTGAAATTCCAGCCGGATTATTGTTTCCAGGTTACGGATTTTCCACACAATGTCGAGCAGTAAACGCAACCTTCCCAACTGAAAAACCAAGGGCCCCTTCTGCCATGGTTAATGCAACCCGGAGGGTTTGGTTCGTGTAGTGGGGAGCGGTAGCGTAGCTGTTTGTGCGCTGTGCTACGTACCCGGCGACCCGAGTTCGATTCCCGTTCACGGTCAACACGAGCGACGATTATATGAAGCGGCTCTGGGCCTCCCCTAGGTCGACTCAGTCTCAAATTAGTACCTGGTGCGGTGTGTAAACATCACGACTAGGGAGACAAAGGCGGCCGGGCGTGGTGTCGACCACCCACCCCCACGTGTGCCGTGCCGACCTTCATAGGTGCTACTCGCTAACAGCACTTGCCCCAGCAATCTGTTAAGGCTACGCGGGGGATCTATGTCTCTATCTTTGTGTAATGGTTAACGCACCGAACGGTTAGACTCCATCTCTCTTGGGGCGGCAGTGGATCATGATAGAGGTTCAGTGACTTTTCGGAAGCGACAAGTGATAGATTTTGAAAATGCTTACCAGTTATCGATTAACTCCATTAACATTTCCCCTCCCCCCTTTATATATACTGTAGTCTCCACATTCATTATACGCCACCAAATCACCACAGCCGACGATGGAAATTCCACGTTCGCATGACGGGCAGGTAGGTAGGTTGGGGGTGTTATCGCCACAGTACACACCGTTGTATGTAACTGACGAAAAACCGTAAGAGTATTAACCACGAATCACGATCAATTGCAGGTAACTGTTTAACAATGCGCCCGATGTAATGCAATGCTTTGTACGTAACTACAATGTAGGGCACTCGGTCACTGCACTGTGGAATGTCGGCAACCCTCCACACAGGCCGTACGGTGTTATCGGGGGTGGCATTCGACCATACTTCACCACGTTTGGTCAGTGCGGATTGTAGGACTGTAAATGTCAATAAAAAATATACTATACAGTATCGATACGTGCAATATCGTCCAGCGATAGAATCACCACAACCGGCACGCGGCGATGGCAGCAGTGGCAGCGATTGTAAACAATAGGAGTGACGATAATCGTCTTGCCGGCTCCTCACGGCTCCGTTACAGAGACAAAGATCCCCCGTGTAGCCTTCACAGACCGTAGGGGCAAGTGCTGTCAGCGAGCACCTATGAAGGCAGGCACGGTACTCGAGGGGGTGGGTGGCCAGCACCACACCCGGCCGCCTTTGTCTCCCCAGTGACGATGTTTACACACCGCACCAGGTACTCATTTGAGGCTGAGTCGACCGGGGGGGGGGGGGTTCAGATAATCGTCACTGCTGGTGGTGGCCGTGAGCGGGAATCGAACTCGGGTCGCCGGGGTTCGTAGCGCTAACCACTACACCACCGCTCCCCATACACACACACACAGACATCTCCACAACGCCAGTGGCGATCCCGTCCCTACTTTCCCCTCATAATGTCCCGGGCGCTGATGTTAAACCACAACAATGACCGCAACAACAACAACACAACGCCAATAGGACTGTACACGCGGCCAGTACAGTGAAGCAACAACAATAGAACGGGTGGTGGTTAAAGGCACAAGAGTGTGAGGCGTAAATTAAACAACTGTGACCGATGTAAAAGGGCTCACCGCACGCTCCTTCGTAGCCGCGACCTCTCCAAAGGATGTTAACAATTTATTATTGACGACGAAACGCAGCGGGCGATTAATAAGCAACAGTTATCGATCATTCGCCAAGGCGCGTTCGCCCGCTACGCCAAAGACGGAAATAAATAATGAAATGGGCGCGGTGAGGGGGCGGGGCCGTTGTGGGGCGGGGGGTCTAGTGACGTCACGCGCACGCGCAGCCAATGAGAGATCTCCTCTGTAGGGGAGGGGGTTTACTTGTGGGGGGGGGGGGGGGTTGTCAGGAGGGGAGCCACAACCAATGAGAATCGGCGTTGATACTGCATGAGGAATCCGAAGTGCTATAAAGCTCTTCGTTTGTCACAGATGTCCAGTAAAGGGTTCACCGGGGGTCAGAACGTGACAACAACAAACAACACAACAACACGACATGAGTGCAAAGTATAGGGAGGGTAAACAAATCGCTTTTATAAATAAAATACTGTATATATAAAAAATAAACAATTTTTACTTATCTTCTTTGGTTCTTTCGGTAAAGTCACGTAGAATGAGAAGAAAATAATAAAATAAAACAATTAAATTCTCACGACGTTTCGGCCACAACACAAGCGGCCTTCTTTTATTCTCATTCTACGTGACTTTACCGAAAGAACCAAAGAAGATGAATCCTTGCAGTCACGAAAGCTTAAATCGAAATTTTTACTTATATTCTTAGTTCTTTCGGTAAAGTCACGTAGAAGGGAAACAATTAAATAATAAAAAATATAAAACAATAAAATTATCACGACGTTTCGACTGCAGCACAAGCAATCATCATCAGGTGTGTAAACCACAACAAGAAAATTTGAAAAAAAGTGGCGGGTGTTTTCTTAACGTTAGCACCACGGACGCGTTAGTCCGTCACAAAAAGTCAGACCCCCCCCCCCTCAAATATGACGTCACAAACCTCTGCCCCCCCCCCCCCCAAAACAAAATAAAAAATGCTTCAAATCGCTTTAAACTATTGTCATTGTATTGCGTATTTAATGTGGCGCTGCACCCTGATGTTGTAGGAGAAACATTTATTTAAAAGTATATTTAATTAAGTAGAACGTGTTGTCTATTTATTTAGAGTTGCGCATTTTGATGTGACGTCACATTTCTCAAACCCCCCCCCTCGTCACACATCGTCACAAATGTCTGACCCCCCCCCCTCCACTAGGTGCGTGACGTCATTTATGGACGGTCTCTTGTCTTGTGGACATTTATAGCAGCAGAATGATCTAAATAATCGAGACGCATGTTTCACTTGGCGGGTGGGGATAATTGTCAGGAGGGACCTCTCACAAGAAAGGGTGTTCACTGGGGGGTTGTCAAGGAGGTAGGGAGGGGGGCAATTGGGACCTCTCGAGCCATGGAGTTCCACATTGAGGATGTGTGTGTGTGCCACCTCAAGCCAGAGGGCATGGGGGGTGGGGGCAATAGCGGTCCACCGCGTGGGTGAGGCGGCCCTGTCGCGTCTGGTGATTCACAACGAGAGGGTTGATACCAGCTGGGAGCGGGTCCTTGTGGTCACAGCAGAGAGAGAGAGTGGTGCACGCGAGCCGGGACAGCTGGCTCAGCGGGTAGAGCGAGCGCGGCTCGCGGTCACAAGGTTCAGAGTTGGGGCGCCCCGGTGGCTAGGAGATGTTATCTCCCTCGCCTGGCATGCAGGAGGTCGTCGGTTCGATCCCGACCGACCCTGACGCCTGTTGCATATTTGGAGTTTGCGTGGTCTATCTCCCTCCCCCTCCCCCGTGGTCGCGTGGATTTTTCTCAGGATTTTCCATCAATATTTAGAATCAACATCACGCGTTTAGAGTATTTGGCTGCCATTAATTTCCCACGTGATAAGCCACTTCGTTGAGCTATCATTTGTGATGGCCAGGTCGATTCTCAAAAAAAGATCTACATAACTCAATCGGCATTACCTCGTAAAATGAAAAAAATAGTTCAGTGTTTTGTTTTTAGTTCAAATCATGTTGGGGGGTTGACTCAGCCCATCATCCCTCCTGGGTCCAATAAAACGAGTTCCATTCTGTGCGGATGTTAACAGCGATTGAAAGATTGTTATACACTTTACTCCCCTGCCTAGCAATGTGGAATTTCCACCACTCGCTCAGGGCTGTAAACGGGAGATGAGCACTGCCCCAATGCCCATTGAGCACTGAGAGTCTGGTCAACAGCACTGAAACTCGGACTGGAACATAACTTTATTATTATTATTTTATTATTATTACTACACGCTTTTATTTCACTCACTCTGTCTGTTGTTGTCGTTTCCTCAAATCTTGTAACTCAATTTTAACCCACTTCCCAATGTGGTATCGAATGCAAACTTGGTATACTTATGTCATACTGATGACAATACTATATTCTATTCGTATAAAAACAAATGTAAACGATCTTTTTTACATGTCATGTTTCGACTTGGGTATAATTGTCCACGCTCAACTCAAGTTGGCTGTAAATCACCACGGCCCCCTTACGTTGTGGCAAGCTTCGGGACCACTTCCTGGAGTCGTGGAGTTCTTCCATTACTAGTAGGGTACATTTCATTAAAGCGTGTTTGAAAAAAAGTTTTTTAAAATATTACTTATTAGTATTGTCATTGAATAATTGGCTATCGTTAATTATTGTTATTGAATCATTGGCTTTCATGAAGTATTATCATTGCATCATTGGCTATCATTAGTTCTGTTATAATTGAATCATTTGCTAGCATTAATTTCTGTTATAATTTAATCATTGGCTATAATTAATTTCTGTTATAATTTAATCATTGGCTATCATTAATTTATATTATAATTGAATCATTGGCTATCATTAATTTCTGTTATAATTGAATCATTGACTATCATTAATTTCTGTTATAATTGAATCATTGGCTATCATTAATTTCTGTTATAATTGAATAATTGGCTATCATTAATTTGTATTATAATTGAATCATTGGCTCACATTAATTTATATTGTAATTGAATAATTAGCTATCATTAATTTCTGTTATAATTGAATCATTGACCATCATTAATTTCTGTTATAATTGAATCATTGGCCATCATTAATTTCTGTTTTCATTGAATCATTGGCCATCATTAATTTCTGTTGTCATAGAATCATTGGCTATCGTCTTCATTATTGCAGTCCCACGTAAATGATTGCGAGGAGCACTGAAGTGCGTATCGGCCAGGTGGAGTAGCGTGTGAGTGTGTGCCGTGCTCGCTCACAGCGCTCGTCGCAACAGTCTGTTACAGGCTATACAGGGGATCTTTGTTTTTGTATGGGGAGCGGTAGTGTAGCGTTTAGCGCGCTGCGCTACAAACCCAGCCACCCGGGTTCAATTCCCGCTCACAGTCAACACCAGTGACGAATGTCTGAACCGATCCTGGCCCTCCCCTAAGCCGACTCAGCCTCAAATGAGTTCCTAGTGCGGTTTGTAAAACAACGCCACTGGGAAGACAAAAGCAGCCGGGCGTGGTGCTGGCCACCCACCCCTCCTCGTGTGCCGTTCTGTCCTTCATAGGTGCTCGTTGACGGCCCTTGCCCAAAGTCTGTTAAACTCAATACGGGGGATCTTTGTCTTTGCACATGAGTAAGGGTGAGGACGAATACACTTGAGAAATCTCATAACAGGTTTTTGGTGCGCCACGGTGACGAGGAGACGTTATCTTCATTACCGATATATACTGGTATATATTTGGAGTGGTCACGAGGTTTTTGAACGTTCTGGTGGTCACGCTGATTTTTCTCCGGGTCTCCTTCGGTTTTCCCCTCCACATTTCGACACACGCATTTCGCTTATCTGGCTGCGACTATAAACTCTGACGTGCGACGCTATAAGCCACTTCGATGAGCTGTGACCGTGTGTGGCCAGGTCGCCTCTGGAAATAAAATAGCTTATAGTTCGGGGGGGGGGGGGGGGGTGGGCATTACTTGTTAAATAAAATGGTTTAGTTTTAGTTTGTAAGTTAACACCCTGCGAGAGATGCAGTACGTAAACATACATTGCGACGGACGTTTCGGGCAGTGTCCCTTTTTTCATCGCACAAACCCTCACCTATACAGGGTGCTTCAACAATATGTTAACACTTTTGATTTAAAGCTTTCGTGACTGCAGGGATTCATATTCTTGGTTCTTTCGGTAAAGTCACGTTGAAGGGAAACAATAAAATAAAAATATAAAACAATAAAATTCTCACGACGTTTCGACTGCAACACAAGCAATCATCATCAGGTGTGAAAACCACAGCAAGAAAATTAGAAAAAAGTGGCGTTTTTTTAACGTTAGCACCACGGAGAGAGATTTGGCAGTTTGTTCAGATGGACGAGTCCATCTATGTTTGAAAAAGAGGGGGGAGACGAAAATAATGGATGCGGTCTGAAAGCCACCGTAAGCGTGAACAATCAATTAAGATCTGAAATGGTTTATCAAATCCTTCCAATGGTTGCTAAGCCAGAATCCATCTTCTCGGTTGAAATTGTCTATGTGGATAGCCTCATTAACGAATCTTTCATGGTAGCCAGATGACTTTCATGGTAGCCAGATGGCTACCATGAAAGTCGTTGTGTGTGTCTGCCTTTTTGACCCGGGCAATGCCGGGTACTTCCTGCTAGTTCTAAATAAATTCGTTTTCAATCTAGATGATGTAAAAGTGTCATAGCTCCAGTGGCTTTTATAATATCAGAAGGAAGAACGGTTCAGGTCATCTCCCCCGACCCTTCTGAAAGCGAGCCTTGAGATTCGGCAATGCTTTCCTCCGGGGTAAACAATCGCGATCATAACAACAACATAACGCAGACACAGCCAGGTATCAATAACTGACATTTATTCCATTGACATCACCCAGGGTCACCACGTCACACAAGGGGGGGCGCAGCCAGCAGGGGGGGCGGGGGTGGTGGGCCGGGCGCCCACTCCGCAGAGGGGCCACGTGGTAGGGTTCTCGTGGCCGGTCCCTCTCGCTGGGGGTCCTAGTTCTTGCACTTATCCTTGCACTTCTTGTCCTTGTGGTCCTTGTGGTCCTTGTGGTCCTTGTGATCCTTGTGGTCCTTGTGTTCTTTGTGCTCCTTGTGCTCCTTGTGTCCCTTCTGCGAGCACACGCGACGCGGACAGACGACACTCGGTTACGTTCGTGGTCGGGGTTACCCCGCGTTCACCCATCCGAGCAATAGCCAGGCTCAATATCTGCTTCGCATCTTCGATATGACGAGACGACGTGACTTGGGGGCCGAGTTGCTGCGTAGTTCATGGTATATTTTTTCGACATCGGGGTTCAACTTTGACGGCATCGCGAGCCTGAAGTTAGTGCGTTCCACCGGGAACAGCAAGTCAAGCGGCTATTGCTGCTGCTGTCCGCTATTGTATGTGTATATGTAAGTTGAACCTCTTTCGCACCGTATATAGCCAACCATGCTAATCGGAGGTGTGGGGGTTATTGGTTGTGAGCTGGCATCATTAATTTGAGTCACTGACGCCTCTATATTACACTGCCCACAGGATGGATAGATCATCCTCATCATCAGCAGCATCAACTGTTGGGCGGCGGAATGGCAGAGCAATGGTAATACCCGTGCCTCACAGCCGAGAAAAGCATGGGTTCGAATTCCCGACTCGGGTGCCAGTCTCTGCGGAGTTGGTCTGTTCTCCCCCTGTTCTGCACGGCTTCCTTGGTTTTACTTCCCATGGATAAATAAACACTATTGGCGCTGGCGAAACATTCCAATGCTGAAAAAAAATTAACCTGCAAATTACTCAATTGGGATCACACACAGCGGCAGCATCCCCCCACCCCCCTCCACGGTTAAAACCTGGCCAGCATCCTTCTGAAAAGGTCTTGAGAATCGGTGAGACTTTCCTGGGTAAACGAGCGGAATTATAATCAAGCAGCATTATTCATGAGAGATATATGCATGTATGCACGTTGAACTAATTTCGCACCATACATAGTCAACCGTGCTAACCGACATAAGCTCAGCATTGATCGCGATCAACCATCGCCTCCAGCTACATGGGGGTGGTCAAGTAAAATCGGCACCACTTTGTGCTGAAAGCTAGGGTGGCAGCAACGAACGAGGAGATGCCGATCGGAAGTTACCTTGCCATCGTCGCTGTCAGATGACGAGCTGGAGCTCTGTAACAGACGGACAGACACACACAGACGGGCCCGTGTCACCCCAACATCGCTCACACTGCCTCATCTGAACATCACACCGCCCCACTTAACGTCCACTTGTGCTGCATGCAATTTATTATTGAACATTGATTTACGTTTGTGCGATATCTTTCATTTCTCATCATCATCATCATGCGAGGCAGTTTGCACCAATTTCTATTTGCTCAATTTGTTTGTTTTGACTTTTTGTAATTTTGTTGGCATTCTGGCCGCCTGTTGCGAGTGAGACCTTATCCTGGACTCTTGAATCCTCACGTGGCGACACAAAGCCAACTCGACTTCACCCCCTCCCTCGGCATCTCATTCAACCAATGACCTACTCGCTCACACACTCACACACCCACTCACTCACCAACCCACCCACCCACTCTCATTAGTGGGACTCTATTCTGGTCTCCTGAATTCTCAGCTTGGTGAAACAAAATCATCTTTAAAACCTGAATAAGAACATCCTCCCCCTCTCACCCAGCTCATGTAATTATCACTCGCGTCACTATCGAGAAGGCTCTCGCTGTTGTAGAGTTCCCTCGTGCGTGCTTGTGGCTGCGTTGGGCCTCACCCCTTCCTTCTTCTTGCCCTTGCAATGCTTGTCCTTGTCCTTCTCTCCGCACTCTGCAGCACACAACACACACCGCACGCTGCAGCCCACCGCGCTTGCCGCACCGAGCTTCCCATCCCACTCTTCTCGTCCCCCGCACTTCCCGCCTTTCCCGCAGTTCCCGCCCCCTGCACTTCCCACCCCACGCTTCCCGCACTCACCGCACTTCCTGCCCCGTGCTTCCTGCACTTCCCGCCCCAAACTTCCCGCCCCAAACTTCCCACACTTCCTGCCCTGTGCTTCCTGCACTTCCTTCCCCCCGCACTTCCCACCCCAAACTTCCCACACTTCCCGCCCCGTGCTTCCCTCACTTCCCGCCCCGTGCTTCCTGCACTTCCTGCCCCACGCTTCCCGCCCCGCGCTTCTAGCACAAGTACGTGTGGTTAACGCGGACTTTATTCCTTGCAAACGGTATCCATTTGGAGTTTGAACATCGTAATACCTATTTTATCGCCAGAAGAGGATAAAACCTATTCTCGTTTTTCACACCACGAGATATGTTCTCAAGCACAGTAGTGGGGCCTCCACCTGACCGACTGCCGCAGCCCCCCGCTCAGAACTGATGATGTAAATTACTATGCCACTGCTTATTTGCCATCGGTCATTTGCCACAACTGGGGGACTCGGGCGTTGTGGCAACGCTCACGAAATGTCGTGGCGGAGGGGCAACACCGGACCGGGGCGTTGTCTCCTCCACGTGAGTCTGCGTGATTCCACGTCACAATAACCACGAGGACTTCGCTCTACACTAGCAGTGGGGGGTAACGTGATAACTTGAGGTGATTTTATACACGTGTGAAAGTCTGTCGTATACGCAAGAGTCATTGGTGAATGATCGTCTATGCGAATCTGCCAATAATAAATAACTGCGATAACATTTGAACCAATATGGTAACCTAGACCGATGCAAAACGACTTGTATAAACTCGTTGATCATAAACAATGTGGGCTTCCAAGAGTAATCAGTTACCAGCTAGTTTAGGGAGACCTCACAAAATGGACAATTTGTTAAAATATTGATGTTCATTATTCGTACATTAATTTCTCTCTCTCTCACGTTGGGTCGGGCAAGAGTGGGGGGGGGGGGGTACTACTCGATTGAAACAAAATTCAACGAGGGAGAGTACAGCGGTCAAACACATTTGAGAACCACTACCGCATCCTGCCAGCCAGCCAAGGCCCTTCTGCTATGCCCCGCGATGACGGACCGTGGCCAGGCCACCGAGGAGGGCCCTGCGGCTGGGGTGGGGGTACGCACTCGAATGCTTGTCCATGGCTGAAGGTCTGCTCGGGATTTCTCTTTTCAGGCAATCTGGGGGAGAAACCACAGCGAAGACGCTCGCGTTAGTGTGCATCGATTACTGCACCGGGGGTGTGGGGGGGTGCGGACGGGTTAGTCAGTATCTGGTGCAGTGTGTAATCATCACCACTGGGAAGACAAATGCGGCCGGGCGTGGTGTCGGCCACCCCTTCGTGTGCCGTGCCTGCCTTCACTTCATTCGGTGCTGCCTGTTAAGGCTATATTGTGATTGTGAATCATTGACCAGTATACATCGGTAAAGGCTATATTGTGATTGTGATGTGGCCGCTGAGGGCATTGATGACGCGTTAGGCACATTCCGAACTCTGCTCTGCGGAGGCTTCGCCACCACGTACGTTTGCTGAGCGATGCAACGTGGGAATGTGCCCAATGGCCTTATCGCCTCCCTAGCGCTACGTAAGCCTCCATCCACCGCCATCACTGTCATTGCCACACCTCACTTTACTGCACCCCCCCCCCCCCCCCCCCCAAGTTAACGGCAACACAAACATAACGACGGCGTTTATGATTAATAAGTAACTTTGTAGCTCTGCTTTTTGTGTTTAGTTTGGTGTGCCCCCCCCCCTCCGCCGCACCTCCGATTAGCACGGTTAGTTACGTACAGTGCACAGAGTATCTGCCCCCTCTCACATAGACCACGACAGTATTTCCTTTCTAGACATCCCATCAGCCACACAGTCCTCTTTCTGGGAGGCGCAGCATTTCTGCGTCATTGCTTCAATTCTGGAGCGGTTTCGACAATTCAGTGTCTCATCGGCAGAGTCGAGGCTCGCTCGAGTTGAAGCCAATGCTTGGTGAAGTGGCAGCCGATGATCGGTAAGGGCAGTGGGTTGCTGGGGGGGGGGGGGGGGAAGCGTTGAGTTTTCATGTATTTGTTGTATTTGTTACACGGATCATCCCGTTCAGTCGGTTCCCCCCAGATCCGTGATGCTGCTGCGTTGTCACTGGAGATCCTTTTTTGCCAGGAGCAACGTATAGAAAATAGGAATCGGTTTTATCCTTTTCTAGCAATAAAATATGAGGTGTTAAGATGCTCAAACACCAAATATAAACATTTCTGCAAGGAATCGAGTCTGCATTAACCACACGTACATGCAAACAAATATGTTCTGACAATATCTATGCATTGTCTTTTAAAATGATTGGCCTACACCAGAGACCGCTTTTGTATGACCTAGTCTCACGAGTGTCATATCCAACCAAAGATGTTTGCTTGGGAAAGACAACAAACTAAACACACACAACGAAAACTGATTTGTTTGCATTGTCCTTGTGCTGTTCGCCTTTTTGCGTTCTTTCCTCTATTGCACAGGTGAGACGACACCATGAAGGAGGCTGTATAAGCTCTGGTGCAGGCCATCAGTTTCAAGGACTATGCCAACATTATGAAAGCATATTTGCTGGAATGATTTACCACAAGTGTGGGTAGTTAATGCGTTTTAGTTGGCACATTAGGGGGCACAGGTGGTGCATCTGCCACTCATCTCAGTAAGTCAACCCATGGCACCTGGGTCTGTCCCGTGACCTCCTGCCGGCGCGCGTTCGACACTTCACGTGGTCTTAAAGTGCACCCATCCTGGCACAAGCGCCGTGGCAACGTCATCGCCACTTAGTGGCGATTGGCGGTTGTTGTGATTAATGCATCCTTGATGTCTTGTAATAGGTGTCCATTTGGTGTTTCAACATCTTAACACCCCCTGCAATGTTGCCAGAAAGGGTATGCTGGCAACTAAGGTCCAAAGGAGTGGGAGCTTTAGTCAGTCAGAATGTGACCGCTACATTAGTCACGCATTATTCCCCTCTGTGCAAAGGCGACAATCGTTGTCGGGTGGCGGAGGAGTTGATGACAGCATTTTTTTGGCTCGCGCCTACCACGTGGCCCAACCCACACAACAAATACGGATGAGGCCAGCCGATGCGTGGCTTGGAACATTGTGGTGCGCTAATGCTTTCTGGAGGCTTGGCAATGAACCAAGGTGGCTGTGCACCACGTGTTTCGCCTGTGCTACAGCACTGTGGAGTCGGCAGCGAGGGTTGGTGGATCACACAGAGACACACACGGATGTTGGGAACCTCCCTTCCCGTAGGGGTCGAGGAGGAGCCATTACCTGGCTTGGCCAGGAGACGGCGGCACAGACATCGGTTCCTGCCTGTGTGGGATCGAGTGTTGCCATCTCACACCACCAACAACAAAAACCAGGCTAATATGTAGAGGACTGCAGAGCTCGGGCAATTTGTTGGTAGAGCCGCTGACGGTCAACGACGGTGATAATCATCCGAACCGGTCCTGGGCCTCTCCCGAGTCAACTCAGCCGCAAATGAGAAGCTGGTGCAGTGTGTAAACATTGCCATGAGGGAAGCAAAGGTGGCCAGGCGTGATGCTAGCCAGCTACCTCCCTGCGGGCCCTTCCGGCCTTCATAGTTGCTACTCGCTCACATCACTTGCTCCAAGTCTGTTAAGGCAATACGGTGGGGGGGGGGGTATCTTTGTCTTTGGTGGTAGCGGTGGTGTTTGTTGCTTAGGAGAGGATTTTTCTGAATTCTTCGCATTCCTGCTTGGGTGCGTCTCTGCTGGTATTTTAAGCATTTCAAGTGACTTGGAGATGGGTGCGGTGTTTTTATTATCGCCCGTATTTTTGTGAAGCACGGTGCTCCGATTGGTTACCCAGGAGAGCCTCACGGAGTCTCAAGACTCCTCTTGAGGAGCCTCCCTGCCAAGTCATCGATAGTTCCATTTCAATGTGCTGTTTTATTGAGGGACGACTGTGGGTTGTCTTGGTGTGGTCTGGGACAGTTTTTTTGGTCCCTTCCCCCAGCTTGCATTTCGTGTTGAAATATCGGCATGACACGTTTGTTGAACTTCTATCACACCGCACGTAGCCAACCGTGCTAATCGGAAGTGCGGAGGAAGGACACCAAACTAAACACAATGATGCACTTTTGCAATTTGTACTTGTGTAGTGTAGTGAGTTCTAGAGCCGTCGGAGACTGATCTTGGAGGCAACACTTTTATTCCCAATACACGGCAATACAGCCCCAGCTTACTCAGGGCAACGGCCCTTCTGGTGCTTTACAGCCAACGTTAGTTGAGCGTGGACAATTAGAGCCAAGCCCAAACATATATAAAAAAAATATGGTAAAATTGTTTTTTATAGATTGTAGTATTGTTATGAGTATCACATAAGTATACCAAGTTTGCAGTCGACATCACATTGGGAAAGTGGGCTAAAATTGAGTTAAAAGATTTGAGGATACGACAACAACAGACAGTGAGTTAATATAAAGCGTGTAAAAAGATTGTTTAAAAATATTTTTTTTATTTTCTCATGATAGAATGTAGTATTGTCATCAGTATGACATAAGTATACCAAGTTTGCAGTCGATACCACATTGGGAAGTGGGTTAAAACTGAGTTACAAGATTTGAGGATACAACAACAGAGTGAGTTAAATAAAAGCGTGTAAAAAAAGTTGTTCAACGTGCATCTCTGCTCAAACGGCCCTGCGTAGCTCCGAGCCAGTCGTGGAAATTCCACATTCCCAGGAAGGGCTCAGTCTGGTCCCATAGGGCAACACACGCGAACGCCGGCAGAGATACAACAGCAGCCGCCACTCACTGGCGGTGATGTACGCCTCGGCGCTTGTGCCAGGCTACGTGCACGTTGAAGTGTCGAAGGCTCGCTGCCAGGAGGTCGCGGGGCAGACCCAGATGGCCGTGGGTTGACCGACTGAAATGGCTGGCAGATGCATCAGAGATACTGCGACAAAGATGCCCCCGTATTGCATTAAGAAAGTGTTGGGCAAGTGCTGTTAGCGAGTAGCACCTATGACGGCCGGCACAGCACACGAGGGGGCAGGTAACGAGCACAACGCCCGGCCGTCTTTGTCTCTCCAGCGGCGATGTTTACACACCGCACCAGATACAGTCCTCATTTGAGGCTGAGTCGCCCTAGGGAAGGCCCACTACCGCCACACCCACTCGTACACGCATGTACACTACATTGCATGCATACATAGGCACATACACAGAGTGTATCTGGACATGCATAATACATTTCACGGGCAACGCTTCGGGTATCAATCGTGACTTGGCACTTTATGCTGCGACACAAGCTGCATGCGCCTTTGTGTTGAGCTGTGGCGCAGTGGTTAGCGCACTGTGCTACGATTCTCGCTCAGCCCTAAGTGAGTACCAGTATGTAAACATCGCCACTGGGGAGACAAAGACGGCCGGGTGTAGAGCTGGCCACCCACCCCCTCGTGTGCCGTGCCAGCCTTCATCGGTGCTACTCGCTAACAGCACTTGGCCCACAAGCCTGCTGAGGCTATAGGGGGGGAATCTGTCTTTGATATTGCCACAACACCCGGGTCCGACTCGTGACTTCCTACCAGCAGCGAGCATTCCATGCCTCACGCGATCGACATTCAAGTGCACCGAACATGGCACACGTGACAACATCACCACCGCCTCGACAAGTGGTGGATGGCGGCTGTTCTTTCATCTTACGGAGAGCGGTGGCGCAGTGGTGGGCGCAGTGGCAATTGCGATATGAACCGGTTTTGAGCCACTCCCATAGGTCGACTCAGCCTTAACAATAATAATCATGATGATGATGCTAATACTTTGCAAGGAATGCGTCGCTGTGATTCCAACCGGGTCATTTATAGACATTTTTTTACGGTAAATTTTAACAGTGACCGGACCCACAAATGGCCGAGACATTTAGAATGACGTCACAGGATCTTTAACGTTCACCGAGAAGCCGACGGCGCGTACGGTCAGTGCCACCCCCCACAGTATTACCTCGAGTATTAATACTGCCCGCGGTATCATCAATAATGTATACCATTGTATTATCTATCATTGCTATCCATTGTATTATCTATCATTGCTATCCATTGTATTATCTATGGTGCCTACCCATGCATTGTCTATAATTCATACCCATTGTAATATCTATATCTCCCCATTGTATTATCTTTGCCCATCCATTGCATTAACTGTCGTGCCTACCCATTGCGTTACATATAATGCGTACCCATTGTATAGAAGTTCAACATACATTTAATTATATACGCCTACCCATTGCATTATCTACTACACCTATCCATTGCATTATATAATGCTTATACCCATTGCATTATCTACTACACCTATCCATTGCATTATATATAATGCTTATACCCATTGCATTATCTACTACACCTATCCATTGCATTATATATAATGCTTATACCCATTGCATTATCTACTACACCTATCCATTGCATTATATAATGCTTATACCCATTGCATTATATATACCTATCCATTGCATTATATATAATGCTTATACCCATTGCATTATATGCACCTATCCATTGCATTATATATAATGCTTATACCCATTGCGCTATCTACTACACCTATCCATTGCATTATCAATAATGCTTATACCCATTGCATTATCTACACCTATCCATTGCATTATATAATGCTTATACCCATTGTATTATCTACACCTATCCATTTCATTATATATAATGCGTATACCCATTGTATTATCTACACCTATCCATTTCATTATATATAATGCTTATACCCATTGTATTATCTACACCTATCCATTTTATTATATATAATGCTTATACCCATTGTATTATCTACACCTATCCATTTAATTATATATAATACCCATTATATATCCGTTGTCGTAACAAGACTCCGCTATTTCCATCAGGAAAAATATCTCGTTCACAACGTGTAATGTTATACGCTTATTTTTGTCTTCTTGGTTTTATATATAATACAGATATCAGAATCAATCAAATTTAAATATTTAATTAAATAAACACACACCGATGACTACCATCCAAGATCACGGTACAATTGTGAAACCGCACGATCTACCGCTACCCGGGTCGCCGTGCAGGGGAGAGCCCAACCGGGCCTGCACGGCACGGGTCGCTCCCGCATTAGCAGCGTGGGAACGCAGCTTCTACAGCAGCGGCGGCATTGCTCTGCGCGCTGTGGAGTCTTTGAGCTTCGCTAGCGCAATTCTATATCTTTTAAAAATAATGCGATGCTCCCCCCCCCCCCCCATCGTCATATGTAAAACCCGCTATATCCGTCCACGTTATTTCGAGCACGCATTGCACGAGACAGACGGCAGTGACAGCGCGCGTTCAAAAGGCACCACCCACCCAGCGTGGACCCCACCACCCGCCCAACGGCACTCACCTGCTGGGTAACGCGTCGTCGCCGAGTCTGCCAGAGGTCGCGCTCCGGGGAGATTTATAGAGTGCGGTGGCGGAGGGGGCGTTTGGGGTGGGGTTGGAGGGAGGGGGCCGGGGGGTGTCGGGCGGGTGGGGTGGGGTCAGGGTAATGACGGCCCGACAGGTGGAAACACTCAGGTGTGCGTGGGCGTCAAGGCGTGTCACCTGATTCATTCACCTGGCTGAACTGGATTTCTCTGGTTTGTGTTGTTGAAGCTGCGCGAGGTCGGGTAACCTGGGTTCACGACACGAGAGCTGGTCACCCAGAATAGTCTCGAACCGCCCCGCCCATCCCCCCCCAGAATAGTCTCGAACTACACTCGCCCCATCCCACAGCCCCCCCCCAGAGTAGTCTCGAACTACACTCGCCCCATCCACCAGTCCCCCCGTGCTGTCAATGGCCAGGATTTGGCAAAAGCGTCGATCGACTTCCTATCACCGTTGAAGTCCCCTCTCTGCTGACGTGCACGGCACGACGTCGTGTTACAACTGCGCTCGTCATAACCCTGCGAGGAGAGTCTCGCCTGAGTCTCAAGCCTCCTTTTGAGGAGGGTGTTGCCAAGTCTGTTGCAGGAGGGGCCGGTGTTGCTGCCGTGAGTAATCTCGACTGAGTAACGTGCTGCTGATTTTTCAGCATGGCGATACGTGTTTACTTAATTTTATTGATTTATTTTTTAGTGACTTGCTGAACTCTACAATCGCTGTTTTGTATTGTTTGTTGTTGTAACTTTCCTCTTTCTTTTTTTCCGTATGGCTGCTGATGTAGGTGAAGAGCAACAGCTAAAATTTCACGTTCAGATGGTCAAGCCCAGACAACCGCGTCAGGAGCAGTGGAGTGGTGCATTATCGCTGCGATGTCTTCTTCGTATTTGTGCATTGGGGCATTGCGTCGTTATACGTTGAACGGTCTGTTCTGGATGACCACAGTTGCACACTGCAGAGTGTAACTTGCTAACCCGGCCCTACTGGACATCTGTGACAAAGAGCTTCATAGCTCATCGGATTTCTCCAGAAAAAACATAAATAAGAAAGATAAAATTTTGATTTAAAGCTTTCGTGACTGCAGGGATTCATATTCTTGGTTCTTTCGGTAAAGTCACGTAGAAGGGAAACAATAAAATAATAAAAATATAAAACACATATTTTTTAAAATTGTATTGTTTCCCTTCTACGTGACTTTACCGAAAGAATCAAGAATAAGAAAGATAAAGTTTGGCTGATACCATTACAGTTACAAACTATTCAGAGCCACCTAAAAGGGCCACGATTGGAGTGACACTGAACTTGGCTCCGTGCCTTAACTTGCGTTATTATTAGTGTGTGTTTTTTTCTGATCGAGCTATGCGATGAAACCGGATAAACTCCATGCAGAACAGAGAAAGAACATACAAACTTCAACAACAACAATAGCCGCCATTCGCCACGAAGTGGCGGTGTCGCCACAACAGCTCTTGTGCCAGGCTAGGTGCACGTTGAGGCCAAGTGAAGTGTCGAAGGCTCACTGCTGGCAGGAGGTCACGAGACATACCCAGGTGCCATGGGTTGACTGAATGAGGTGACTGGCAAATGGACCACCTGTGCCCCCTACTGTGCCAACTTGCTGTGTTTTAGTCGCCCGGCGCTCCGCTCGTTGTTGTGAGCGTCACTCCTCTGTGCTCCATTGTTATTGGAGGGCGACTGCCTCCCAACTGCCCAGTAACGATTGGCCTCTACTGGGCCTCCAACTGCCCAGTAAAGGCTGATCTTGACACCGCTGGTACCAGTCATTGGCAAGTCCATTCAGCTGTATATCCTCTCGTACCACTTAATTGTATCTCTTCTCTCGCTCGTGCAATGCCCATTTAGCCCCATCTATCGAGCCAAACAAGCTGCTTGGGCATGCGGGCTACATTACCCAGCCAATGCAGCCTTGCCTGCCGAAGGAGCTCACCAATGGAATGTGTCCAGATCTTTCAAGGATTTGTGAGCTCACACAATTCAACCTGGATAACCCCATGATGAATCGTAGACAGGCCAGCCTGAATGTTTCTAACTGGTGAAGATGTTCCATTAGGGGGGTTTATGTTTCGCAAGCGTAGAGAAGGGAGCGCATTACTGTGGTAGAGAAGGTGCATAGTTTTGGAGGGGCTGATAGTAAGGCCCCACCTCTTAGGTGGCACGCTCCAGGTCAAGCAGCAGTGGCTCCAACTCCTCTGAGTGAGCAGTAATCACTAAATCATCAGCATACATAACGTGATTGACCAATTGGGAGCCATCCCAGGACTGCACCCAGCCATCGATCAGCCTCCCATTGTATCTGTACCAGATGGAGATTACTCCGGTACAGCTATGGAAGGCTTTTTGAACTACATAGTCTAAAATATGTTAAATAATCTAGGTGCCAGAGGATATCCCTGTCGCACCCCAAGGTGAACAGGGAATGGATCTGACTTCCAGCCACATAGCTTTACTCGGCCCTGCCCACCATCATGAAGGTCCTTAATGATTGGGAGAAGAGAGTCAGGGACTCCGAAAGCATGAAGAACAACCCAGAGCCCAGGCCTTTTGATGGCATCAAAGGCGTTGAGCAGGTAAATAACGCAGAGATGTAGGTCTTTTTGGAATTCCCTACACCTCTGCTGTTGCAGATGGACAGAGAATATGGCATCTGTGCAAGACTGTCCTGGCCTGAAACCACATTGGGGCTCCATAAGCTTCTCATCGTGCAAGACAAGGCGATGTAAATAATCCTTGCCAGGACCTTCCTGGCAAGGAAGGTCCTGGCAAGAGGTCCCCCTTCTTAAAGAGGGGGACCACCAGGGCATCCTTCCAATCCTATGGAACCCGTAAAGTGGTCCAGACTGTTATAATGATGATGTAATATAGGGCACTGCACACAAACGCCGCCCTCCCTCAGTAGTTCGCTTGGGAGATGATCTCTGCCTGGTGCTTTTCCTCGTCTTAGACTCTGGATCGCCTTCCATGCTTCCTCAACAGATGGCACCTCAGCCAGCCACTCACAGGGGGTGACTTCTTCTTCCAATATTTGAGACGCGGCATCATCAGCAAGGTCAGCCCCACTTTGCCCCATTATCTTTTCTGGGCTGAGGGATTTCCCTTCCCCAAAGACCTCACAGATATGCTCAGCAAACCTGCAAATATATTCCTCGGGACTAGATATCGGATCACCTTTCTTTCCCCGAAGCATGGTGATAAGTGTGGCGCTGCAGGTTACTTTTTTGATGGAATTAAAGAGTGATTTGTGATCGCCAGCTACTGAGGCAGATTCCATCTCCTCAGAAACCCGCAACCACCACGTATCCTTGCAGTGCCTCATGGCTCCCTGAACCTCCGAGCGAGGCTGCGGTAAGCCTCCTCATTCTCCGACGTGGGATGCTGTAGATGATGAGAGTGGGCCTGTTTTTTTTCTCAGCCAGCTGGAACCCCTCATCCGTCAGCCAGGGTCTCTGGGGAGGTTTGGACCGTGTACCCAAAACAGCCATTGCAGCTGCATGAGCCACGGTGCTAAACCTCGCCTATTTCCCCTCGGCATCAGGAGGAGTGGGGGACGATGCCAACCCCAGTTGCAAGCGATGATGAAATTCTCGCTTGCTACTTTCATCAGCTAGTTGAGACCATGCCACCATGGGGTTTGAATGGAATCCTAGATGGACACGCACCACTGGAGTGAAAGAATGGCAGGGGCATCTTACAGATAACAAGCCGATGGTCAGTGGGCGGATGAGCTCCACGGTAGGTCCTTGTGTCAAGCACAAGGACCTGCATCCGCTGTTCCATCATTATATAGATCAGCAGATGTTCTTGCTTGGACCCGGCGTACATCCATGATGTTGCGTGGATGTGCCGATGCCAGAACAGTGTTGGTAATTACAAGCCCATGGGCTACACAGAAATTTAGCAGTCTCCTACCGTTGTTATTGAGTTGACCATGCCTTCAAGTCACTGTAGCCTAGGTGCGAGCGTCATGACCCGTTCGGGCATTAAAGTCACCCAACAGGATGACTCTATCCAGAGGGGCCACTTTAGCTAACAGCTGTGACAGGAGGTCATCGAAGGCACCTGACTCATCAGGCTTGCCTGCATCCCTCTCCATTGAAGTTAATCTTTGCCGGGGGCATAAGCAATCACCACCATGCTTCGGGCTTACAGATTTGCAGACATCACCGCCAGGCTCCGACGCCCCATCATTATGTTTTTCATAATAAGAGCCACTCCCTGTTCTTTGGCAGTCTCGTGCTCCGAGTAGAGGACTGTCCCACCCCTCATGGTGACTGTAGCCAGAGCCAGTCCACCGGACCTCCTGAATACCGCAAAGATCCAGTGGCAGCCTCTCCGCAGTGAGCGTTCGAACATGACACGTTGCCACACGCAAAAAAACAAAGACAAAAACCCCCTGCATAGCCTTAACAGACTGTTGGGGAAAGTGCTGTTAGCGAGCACATATGAAGGCCGGAACGGCATACGAGCGACTGGGTGGCCAGCACCACGCCGGACCGCCTTTGTCTCCGTCGTGGCGATGTTTACACACCACACCAGGTACTCATTTGAGGCTGAGTCGATCTAGGGGAGGCCCAGGACCAGTTCAGATAATTATTGTGTTGCCGGGTTTCTTAGCACAACACTAACTGCTATACAACCGCACAAAGACACACACACACAAAGACACACACACACAAAGACACACACACAAAGACACACACACAGACAAGAACACAACAACAACAACTGCCATTCGCCACTAAGTGGCGGTGACGTCACCACGACGCTTGTGCCAGGCCATGTGCACCTTGAGGCCACGTGAAGTGTCGAACGCCCTTGGGCAGGAGGTCACGGGGCAGACCTAAGTGCCACGGGTCGACTGACTAAGATTACTGAGATGACTGGCTGATGCATCACCTGTGCCCCCTACTGTGCCAACCTGCTGTGCTTTAGCCACCTCTCCACTCGTTGTTGTGAGCGTCGCTCCTCCGCCCTCCGTTGTTGTTGGAGGGCGACTACCTCCAACTGCCCAGTAGCGTCCTTCATGAGCCTCCTCCACAGAGGCCGATCTTGACACCGCTGGTACCAGTCATCGGCAAGTCGAATCAGCTCCACATCCTCCTGTACCATCTCTTCTCTAGCCCGTGCCGCGCCCGTTTAGCCCCCTCGATCCGGCCGTACAAAAGCTCTTTCGGCGTGCGGTGGCTGGA